ATAGTGGCTGATAATAGGTAATACCGTTCGTAGGTTGCCGTCAACCTTTTCTTTTTAATGTAATTTCCATTGAAATTAAAATAAGGTTGTTAATTTTTGGTTTGTAATATTTCTTTACATACATTATATATTATACGAAAAAAATAATTACTCGAAACTTGTGTCCTGTCTTTCCGGTGATTGTGAAAGTCTATTTATCTGGTTTGATGATTACGCTCCACTTTGAAATTGTTTGGTACCATGAAACTCTTCACCTTCTGTTGATCTCGACGTGCCCGATGAATTTCTGAATTTACAATAAATATAAACAGGGATAAAGAATAGTAAATGCAACAAAGAGATTGATATTTAGAATAATACAATCATGCATTACATATTAACAGGGTCCCTTAATTTTTTTCTCAAATTGAGTGGTTCTGCCTTTGATCTTTTTAATGCTTCATACAATTCTTCATCAGATTCAGAATTTGAAGAGGACCTGTATTAGCAAAAAGAACGATTGACAAAGTAAAAAATGCGATAGAATAATTAATATTTCAAGTGTCATTAATACATTTATCAGTCTATACATGCACGCATGCATATAATTTATACGATTGGTTGATAATACATTAGTATGTCACCATTTAAATAGTGGTAAAACAGACTTAACTGAATAGAAAATCCATATGCTATTTCGCATATTTATTAAAATAAAATTAATTAGAAATAAAATTAATCAACTAATAAAGACCTGTAAATGGATATCTGATTTAGCGGTAGGAGAGACTTACTCTTTTCCTACTCTTACGCATTAACAGTGTTACATGTACTTTGCCACATTTCTTATATATGTTATATAATTTCAAAAATTAATTACTCGAAATTAAATGCCTTTCTCTTTGTTTCTCTGTAAATCGGCTTCGCCTCGTTGAATGTTTGTAATTCATCTTGAAATTGCATAAAACCATGAAAATCTTCACCTTTCGTTGATTTCGATGTGCTCGGTAAATTTCTGCAATTCAATGAACAGAGATAAAGAATACTAAATGCAATAGAGATATTAATATTTAAAATGATACAATCATTCATTACACATCGACAATCCCTCTTCTTTTTCCTCTTAATTTTCTTCTTAAATCTTTCGCTTCTGCTTCCGATCTTTGTAATGCCTCACGCAATTCTATGTTAGATTCTGAAGTCGAAGTGGACCTGTATTAACGAAAAGATTAATTGTCAAAGTAGACAATGTCATATAATAATTAGGATTTCAAGCGTTATATGTTTTCAAGCGGAATTATCAGATCAGAGTTTCATGTTTGAAATTTATAGTCAACAGTGTCAGAAATGTTAATATTTATATTTATAGGATATTTGCGACTTGTCGATAAATAAGTTACTTGCAGTTAAAAGTTCGGGAATACTCTACATAACATTACTTTAACACTTAATTATAATATTATCACAAAACGCAAAATGTTAAACTTTTTTCAGGAGATTTTTATAATATAACAAATTTATCTCAACACACTTATTTTTTTACACCTCCTTGCCATTTTGTTACTCGTTTCCTCAAAATAGTTCCATATATTTTCACGGCCAAATTTAACAAGAACGTATACTTTTATGGACATACATTTGTAATTTGATGAAATAATTTTGGTAATTATGCATAAAAGCGACTTCCTCTCCGATTTGTTTTATTTTTAAATATGTTGTTGGGGATGTCTTCCCGAGTCATTTCATATATAT